CCTTGATCCCTGAACATGTAAGCACTATTTCAACTCTTTGTACATATTACATGTGATTTCCGTCAAACTTGTCTTCCATTGAACCACGTAGTCAGTAAGGGGTTTTTAGGGTCGCTGATTACGAATCCGGAGATAAAATTACAAAATTCAAGATGGTGGACCCAATATGGCGGACCGAAATTGTAAAAAGATGGCTGATTCAGACCACCTTTGGTATCTGGAGGTTTTTGGGACCTCTAATTACGAATCTGGAGATAAAATGAAGGGAGAATATTGATCTCAAGCAATTATATTTACTGAATTTAACAATGAATCAGTATTCAAAATTGACCTGTCGCGTCAGTTGTTTTTTTTTTTTTTTTTTTTTTTTTTTTTTTCCAGAGAGAAGTTGGTCTTCTAAAAGATTATTATCTGTCAGTATCTGAGGGGAATATGTAATGATATTCTGACATATCTTGACATAAGATATAGATATAGATATCTTGATCTCTTATGTCTTATATTTATTTATTTATTTACATTCTATCTATTAATATATTTATTCATATTCATTCATATTGTTTATTTAAATTCTGGACTTGAATAGTAAAATATCTATTAATGTTCAAAACGTTAATCTTAAAGTCCAGAAAATTTATATAATTAATATCCTTGAAAGTTTACAATAAACCTTAAAAACCTTACAAGTAAAACACATTACAATAATAATAATAATAATAATAATAATAAAGTGCGACAAACGAATTATATTTTGATTTCCAACTTCAGATTCGTAATTAGAAGCCTCAAAAACCTCCAGATACCAAAGGTGGTTTGAATCAGCCATCTTGTTACAATTTCGGTCCGCCATATTGGGTCCACCATCTTGAATTTTGTAATTTTATCTCCGGATTCGTAATCAGCGACCCTAAAAACCCCTTACTGACTAGTTCAATGGAAGACAAGTTTGACAGAAATTACATGTAATATGTACAAAGAGTTTTGAAACAGTGCTTTCATGTTCAAGGATCAAGGGATGATTTCCACCCTTAAAATGCGTTGTCAGCCGATATAAAAAAAACACGTGTTCAATATTTTTCAATGTTTTACGTGCATGCCAAATTTCATTGGAATCGGTGAGTGACAGTTTGGGTAGTGTTACTTGTGAATCTAACGCAACTCTCCTCGGTTCTTTACAATCTTAATTCGTCACACAATTTGGGACTAACTCGAGTCATTCGGTATTTTCCATTAAACTCATCCTCGACATCGTGAATCCGAGAATTATATTCTTTTCATAGCTGTAGTTTCCGCGCGTTGCTACATTTTAGTATACTATATTCGAGAAGAAAGAGATTGGATACGAAGACGAGCGAAATTCCCTCGTCCAAGCCGATTTTTCTTGCGCAACGACTTCGGCTCGCGAGAGATAACTCGCTCGCGATCGCTCGCGGTGTTAACGTCGGGCTTTCGCTCGCGCAGCCCTGCGATCGATCGATACAGGCGTGAGAACGTCAGAGCGATCAGCTGTCTGGCGGCAAGGCCGAGGTACGAGGAAACGCTTACACCGTTTCCACGATATTTCCGCTCGCCGTGAGCGGCGAAATTCCCGCCGTACCGCCGGCATTTTCCTAACGAAGGCTCCGCGCTTAACTAGAGAGACGGATGGATGTCCAGCGCGGTGGAAACAATTGGTCAATTCGGCCGCGCGCCCAATTGCGAAATTGCAGCGGATGAAAATACCGTGCTGGACTCTTAATTCGATTCAGCCAATTAGAGCCGGCTCTCCCGCCGCCCGCGCCGCCGTCCTGGTCCTCGTCGTCGTCGTCGTCGTCGTCGTCGTTATCCGCTCGAAGCATAGGCTGAATGTGTTCCTCGCACCTCGCTCATCGGGAAAATTTCTGCTAAGAGCGACGTGTCGTTTCTCCGTCCGCGTTGTTATGAGCCCGAATGAGAGTATGTCGCGATGTAATATTGAGCGTAAGAAATGTAAAGCGGTTTAGGTTCAGAATTGTGTGTATCTTCCTTACTTTCCACGGGAAATTTGATTATTTTTATCTAAGGCACTTTTGAGGGTCCAGATTCCTCGTCGTGCTCAGCGTTTTTACAGTGTTTATCGGACTAGTTTATATCTATCTAGATTTTTGGGTCTTTGACTCGGGACTGAACTATCAGGAACAGGCTTTTAAGATAAAGCTTGCTGTAACAGCGCTCAGGAACGTCGTACGGACGAACGATTTTCCTCAAAATTTTTAACCGTTTCGATCGGTAAAATGTTTCGCTCCTATCAATTCTTTGTTGGGAGAAAGAGAGAAAGTTGGAGTCGTGATGAAAAGTTTAGTAGAAGATCCGGGATATGTATAGCGGCAGAGAGACGGCAGTATGACGAACTCTTGATTCGAGGGCGAAGTTGTAGAGCGTGCTTATTTTGCTGTATAATTGTTAATCTGATAAAGTAAAAGAGGAGACCGATGTTCACTTAAAGTCTACTTCCAGCGACGCTCTCGCGATAGAGACGCTACGTTCTTTTAAATTTCAAGTTCCACGAAGGAACTGCTAATTTGCGGAACTGTCAGATCCAGCGTGTTTTCGCGGAGGAATTCCTCTCTCTTTTTCGTGCCACTTAATTTAATCCCCACGGAATAAGAGTAAACAAGAAGGAGCGCGATAAAGACGTCGAGAGGTAACTAGGATGCAAAATTGGGTAAATTTGCCAACCTTGATGTATACATATATCTCTCATCAGTTTCCTAGAATTATAAGCTTTTGATAAAATTACAGCCGTAATAGTAGAGTAATAATGATATCAAAAAATACAATTAAATGACGAGTGGTATGAACGCGGCATAATTAGACGACGACAAGGTAATATAGTGACGCAAAACTGAAATCCTCGCACCGAAAGTGTTCGCGTAAAAAACGAAATCGTTCACAGTTTGACGAAGAGATTATATAGACGGGAGAGTTCGTTGTTTCTGAATCGAGTTCATAGGAAGGGGTTCAGGAAGAGGAAACACACGTGCGGTTGTGTTGATGCACTACCACGTGCGTCATGTCGAAACAATAGCTGTGAAATTTGCAGCGTTAGTTATTAGCGGAATCGTTCGACTCGTCGCGAATTTCGTCGTTTCAGCTCGAAATACCGAAGGGACTGGCTGGCAGGCAGGCCGTGCGACCGACGGTGCCACCCACGCGCGCGCGCGCCTTCTTCAGGGTTAAACGCGCGAAACGAATGGCCGGGACACGGAGTTACACTCCGGCAGAGGATGATCGGTCGTGGGGCCGCGATGCAGTCGCGGTCCCATAAATCTAAAAAGAGTATCCGAATAAACACACACGAACGGGTGTGGTCGTTCTCCCTCGCGTCGCTTCAGGAACCGGGTCAAGAGCACGTGGGACGCCAAGACGTATGGCGACGATCGACAGAAAAAAATATCTCGCGGCCGACCGTGAATTAACGGCCGCCTGATATCGCGAATCGCGTAATCGATTGGAGTGTCTGCAGCTCCGAACGAGCGATATCTAGAGTGTCGTCGTAAGCTTCAGTTAGCACTCGATGTTCTCGGAAAGCATCTTCCTAGTCGTCCGTTATTTCATTTGTCATCTAGCGTTGCGAAATCTGATGCGATTGATTCGACAGTGACGGTCGTATCGGCGAGGCTTTCTTTCTCAGCGGCCTTAGTCGTTCATTCACTTGACGAGTTATTTTACAGGGAGCTTGTTTGCCCGTTCCGATTGGGTGTTCCTTCATAGATAAATCAGCCGTTCGCATTCGCAATCGTTATCGTTATTATCAATTAGCCTTATCAGCTACTCGAGATAGAGCGAATCTGTAGCTGGAAGCACGTGACGGTACGTGTCGTGATGGCAGTATATCGCACGAAGTATATCGCAATGATCGCGTTCATCTGCCGATGCTTGTATGTCAGCTGTACTTCCGATCTAAAATCGGACTTTTAGCGTCCGCATTTTAGCGTTTTTGCGCGTTTTTGGGAGGGGCGCAGAAACGACGCGGTCGTCAGCGTGTCGCCCCTCTTTCTCCCGTGGGTCACTGGCGCTTCTGAGGAGGCGATGTTTTCGATGGAATTTTACCGATACTTGGTTATGTACCGTTCGATCGCCATTATTATCCCTTGCCTCGTCTCGTCGTCCTTGTCGGATGAATTATTATCGGATTGATTTACTCGATTATAGATTATCTCGTTAAGACAGCATTCGCGCCGCGCCGGTCTCGAGACCGTCGACGTACAATCGACACGGTTACTTTAAGAGGTTGTCTCGGAAAGGCCGCAGAAAAAGTGCGCATAATGCCGTGCAGTATGACAATCAAAGTTTGAAATACGTTCGCGGATGAGATCGAAGGTTAAAGTCTACTTCTCGGATAAACGTCTTGGAACAACAACGAGATAAGACTTTTTAGATGGATAATTAGTCGGGTTCCGGAGAATTTTAATCGTCAGCTGTTTTTTACCGCATTTTCCTACATGGTCTCTCTCTCTTTCTCTCTATCTCTCTCTCTCTCTCTCTCTCTCTCTCTCTCTCTCTCTCTCTCTCTCTCTCTCTCTCTCTCTTTCTCGACTGTGCGCGAAATCAATCACTCGCGAGATTGAAGAAAGAAATTTTGTTATACACTCGACTTCGGAGGTGAGCAATGCACGTGACGTGTGTGACGTTCGCTTTAAAGTTAATTAATTCAAAACTGTCGAATACCCTCGGGTTCCTCTGCGCGTTCTCATTTTATATGGTGGGAATACAAGCGATATATCTCACCGCGGTCCCGACGCGCCTGTCTTTCCTCTCATGTCCTTCTGGAAGCTGCGATATTTAAAATCGAAGGTCCGCACTTATATTCCGCATTTAGCGCGAGATGCCACTGCGATGCGATCGCGAGAGAGACCCGAGAGAGAGAGAGAGAGAGAGAGAGAGAGAGAGAGAGAGAGAGAGAGAGAGAGAGAGAGAGAGAGAGAGAGAGAGAGAGAGAGAGAGAGAGACTGTTTACGATCTCCGTTTGGAAAAAGGAAAGCAATTTGCGGGGGGATCAGACACACTCAGAAGACTCGTCTCTCAACTAATAACCGATAAAGAGGAAGACCGTCTAAAGACGTCCAAGGATTATCGCAAAAAATTCGAAAAATTCTATGAAAAATTCAGGCGTGTTTCTCCTGTCCTGTACGGACGGAAAGGACACGACGAGTACGGAATCTCTAGCCGGTCGCGATCCCTTCGAATCGTCGAGATGACGATAAGAGGACCAGGATCCTCAGGATCTCCTCCCGCGTGTGTCCTCTCGTCCATGCATGCGTTCGCCGTCAGGTGGGGGGATGCGTCGCGCGTGGGAGAGTGAGAGAGCCAGAGAGGACGAGAGAAAGAGATAGCGGGACAGTCGAGCCCGCGTATAAATACAAGCGGTCGCGTTCGCTCGCGTTTAGTCGCTGCGATACCCGATTCACGTGACGGCCGTCGATCGAGCGCGCCTCGATCAACGCTTGGGGAGCCTCGTCGTCGTGTTTCGCATACGTATCAACAACGGGTCGACGTGCCTTCCGTGTGTATACGCGTTGCGTGCGTGTCTGCGGCCGATAACGAGAGCGAGACGTGGAGAAGGAAAAAGAGGACGCGAGGAAAAGCCGCCGCTCGTGTCTTCGCCCGGCCTCGGCGCCAACGGCTTAACCTATTTGTCGTCTGCTCCGAAGAGGAGAAGATAGGAATTTGTTTGTTGGGAGTGAGATAAAGAACGAGTTGCGGGAGATCGTTTTTTTTTTTTTGGCCCGTCCTCGGAGGACCGTCTTCGCGCTTTCGTCGCTCGCGTCAAGTGTGATGCGAAACAACGGAGCCTCGTACCTGCTGCCCGCGGCAGGTGAGGGCTGACGAGGTAACGCTGAGACAGGGTCGGGGAATCGCGTGGATCGAATATTCCTTGAGAAGTTTACTCCCGAACAGTGTTCCGTTCCTCGTGCGTGCATTCGCCGGTAAATACGTCGACCATATATTCAATTACCACCGGATGATCGTTCATCCGCAGTGAGGATCCCGGAGCCTGAGAGATGGGCGAACGATGACACGTTCGGAAATTCCGAATAAGTAGAGGAAGAACAGACTGGCAGAAAGAGAGAGGGGGAGAGAGAGAGAGAGAGAGAGAGAGAGAGAGAGAGAGAGAGAGAGAGAGAGAGAGAGGGAAATATATACCTAAAGCGAATAAAATAAAAAAAGAAAATAGATAAACGGTCAGTCCCCTCCCCGCAGGGTCAACGATCGCTACGTAGAGATCTCTACGTGCTCTCCTCTCTGCACGGGCGTATCCGCTGTGGCGGACCGGAGCACGTAACACGTATACACCACGTACACACACACACACACACACACACACCCATCAACGTGGTAGCATTCGCGTTTCACGAGAGTGACCGCGTCGGCGTCCGTCGTCGACGTCGGGAGTGAAAAGGCGGTCGACCGTACGGCTGCTTTCACCGACGAGCCGCGCCGGCCGCGGCGGAATAATGCCGATCGCGCTTTAACGCTCCGTCGCCCCGTGCCTTCTTGAAAAATGACACTCGCTTGCCAATAATCGCCATTCTCTAGATATATTCCACGGCTCGCGGCTCGGCAACATCGTCGTCATCCTCACGCCGTCATCGTCGTTGGTTCCATTCGACGAGAATTCGTGCGGAACGACAGCGAATCTGCGACGAGAGGGTCTCGAGGCGCGATTGTGGCGCGAATTGAACGGTTACCCGGTATATACCCGACACGATCGTCAAATCGACGAGAGAGAGAGAGAGAGAGAGAGAGAGAGAGCAGAGAGAGAGAGAGAGAGAGAGAGAGAGAGAGCAGAGAGAGCAGCTTTATTCCCTTGCGTTGCGGCGTTGTGGAATCTGCGGACACCGCAGCGTAACCTTCAGCGACCTCGCGGTATATAGTATTAAATCGACAACGCCAGGCGTCGTCGGGCGATAGTCGTGACGCGTCTTCGCTCGCGGACGCTTGGAACCCAGCTCGGAGAGCTCTAACCCGTGTGGATATCTAATCTCTGTGAATAGCGTGATCTCTCCGGTGACCCCATCGGATACAACAACAAGTTGCACGCGAGTGGACACTATATCGGCCAGAGAGAACCAGGATCGTTCGTTCATTCGGTTGTCCCTCGGAATCGGTGTATACATATTCTGTGCGCGTCGTTCTAACCTTCGGCGATCTTCCCGGCATAAGATATTCCACTCTCAGCGGAACTGCCGAAGCGACTTTTCACGACATACTCGGCGCGGAGTCAGCGGCTACCTCTCCATCCTCGCCTGACCTTCGGCGACCTCGCCGCTCGTGAGACATTAACCCGTCGTGGAAGCGGCGTACCTGACGGCAGACCGGCTTGAGGTGAATCAAGCGCGACGCTCGATCAATTCAGACGCGAGCTAACCCTCGGTGACATCAGCGCGAGGTGCACGAACCCGACGTCTTTCTCTTCCCCTCTTTTTCTGTGTCTCGCTGCGCGATGCCCGGCGCGCGTTTGTGAAAACGCGTTTGTAAAACGAACGGACGTGGTGATTCCGATTAGCATGGAAACAACCGCCAAGATGTACATCAGCAACGAACCGCAGAACGGTCACACGACCACCAAATACGCCTCGACCAACTCGATCCCGGCGATGATTCAGGAACAGGAGTCCTCCTTGGCGAGGATCCTCGGGGCTGTCGGTAAACAGCGCGAAAACGCGGCGGCGATCCTGCGGGATGGCAAGGGTCGCCGGCACAGTGTCCTGGAGGACCTGAAAGCCCGACGTGACAGTCTGTTCCAAAGAGCCCGTAGGGCCAGCATGTTCTCTGACGAGAAGGAGAATGCCAAGGACAACGGCAAAGATAATACGAAAGAGAAGCCGAAGGACAAGAGGAGGAGCAGCAGCGACACCGGCAACGCCAGACGAGGCTCGGTGTTTTACGTGTCGGAGGATCTGCTGGAGGAGAGGCATGAGATCCAGGAGAGCGAAGACCGCGCCCAAGTAGCGCAGGAAGCCAAGAAGGGACGCCGGAAGTCGTGGCATCCGCTCGCGAAGCCGCCCAAGGTGGATCGTAAGAGGCGGAAAGGTGTGGTCGCACCGTCGCAGACCGGCAGCACTGAAGGGCTCTATCCGCAGGCCCGACAGAAAAGGCCGTCCTGGTGGAACATCTTCGTGCCGGACTCGGTCAGCAGGTATTTATCGCGGCTGCTTGTCGATAAGCTTGCCCCCAGATCAATAAACGGGGGGGAGCGCTCGCGTGGCGCACTCGGTGCGCCGCGTCGAGTCCAGCGACTGGAATCGCGCGGCGGCTGTCGATTGAAGCGATTTGCGAGGAATAATAGGAATATTCGCGTGTACAATTTAATTGTACGTAGCGAAGTAATTCAAGTAGGACGTATAGAGATGGACACGTACGCGCGCGTACCCGTAAATTCGTCGAGACATTTTACTGGAGCGTGATTGAAGAGCAGGTCCTATACGATTTACGAATATTACTATACTGTATTCACGAATACACGAAATGGCGTGTATTCGTGATTTACGAATACACGCCATTTATTATTATTGTACGGCTAAGATATGTGTTCTGGCTGATATACCGCTGAGAGGATATTCACATCCGACGCATGAGAGCCTCTTTCTTTCTCGATGATCCGTTTCGTATTTACGTCGCGTAATTATCTGACAAATAAGTTCCGCGCTCAGACATAACTGTGACGATCATTAAGCGATCGATTCGGGGCCGCTCGTGTGAAAACGACGATGAGAAAAATTGGCTCGATTAAGACGCGAGTAACGATGCTTCGAACGGCCTTAACGGCCGACACGTGATAATTCCAAATATTAATTCCCCAATTCGCGGTGACTTTCACGTCGATATGTGTGTTTGCGTATCCATGCGTGTTGCTGGCCGGCCTCGAATGTCCGTTCGGGAATGACGATTAAAATAGCGATGCAATCTGAACATTTAATTAATTTTCAATAATTCCCAATAACTCGGCGAAAATTCCGTCTTTCCCGATTTCGGCGAATCCACATGTCACGTAGATTCCAATGATTGTGTTATTATAATGTGATCATTCCGTGCCGGCGGATAATTTCAAATCGCTCCGATATGTAACGCGCAGTTTAACCCCTTATCGGTGAATATATAATTCGCAGTCGCCGTCGCGCACATACATGTATAAATAATACCGTCGTTTATTTCGCGAAAAGAACATTATCAAGCGCCTTTGTCGTCGCGCGTCTGTACGCGGGCGGGATATGTCGCGTCTCTCGCGGATTCGATTTTGAGGGAAAAGTCGCGAATAAGCAGGTGCAGCTTAGGTCAATATTTGGGAATGTCGCCGGCGTTGAAGTCATAATCGAGGCTCGAGGAAATCTTGTCGCTCGCCAGACGACGGGAAAGCTTTACCGTTTCAGATAACGGCACGTTTGTTGTAACGGGCAATATTTTACGGAAATAAAAGCAAAGCGGGCAAACGAATGAATGAACGAACGGCGATATTTGCGCGACGCGGACAACCGTACACACGAACGAAATTCCGGAAATATCGGGTAAAAAGCGGCCGCGCTCCAGCTGGAAGCTGGAAGGCGAAGTTTTGCAAAGTTCCGCCTCGGACAAAACACAGTCGAGGCTGTGCCGAAAAATTCGATATTTATGCGCAAATATTTAAGCGCATTCTGTTTTGCCGGGCGCTTTCTCTCCCTCGCGGTGTCGGGCGAGCGGCCGTCCTGTTTGTTCTACGGTTTAGGGTGAAAAATATCGTCGCTAAGGGACAATGCGCGGGCATTCGAAGCGAGAAACGCGGCCGACAAAATTAGGGGCAAAAACGCAGAACGATAAATAGGTCGCGCGTGTTTGGCCACCGATCGCGATGAAATCGCGACTTCCGCGAGACTCTCTCCGTCTCTGCTAACGACGCGACGTTTTTATCCGCAGAAAAGTGGGATTTTCGAGACGCGCGAGTGTTTTCCGCGAGCGGACGGGCACGAGAAAATTTCACGAAAGTTTCTTCGTCGCGTCGCCGCGCCGGGTCGCCGCGATTTCTCTGCGAGAGACTTATTCGCGGAAGTCGTCGCGAGAAAAGCCGGCGCCGGTTTACCTTCACAATTCGCCATAAAGTCTAGCCGAGCTGACGGAACCGGACGATCGTTCCGACGGTCATGCTCGCGCCGGCGAATAATCGAACGTAGAAAGTTTCGATTTTAATTGCATTACGTAACATGAGCGCGCGCGCTCATTTCATTTCCCGTGTCTGTGTGTTGTGTGTTGTGCATGTGCATGTGCCGCGGTGTTACGCAAGCGGCTCGGAAAATTGGATATTACGGGCTCATTTGATTTGTTGTTGGCAACCGAAGGGTTCGCGGCGCGCGACAGCCCCTGTAAATCCCTCTTTTCCCGCACTCGAGAAGATTAAACTGAATCGAATTTGTCCGGCGTTTTATCATCTTTAATTTTCTCAAGTTGCTCAAACGCGCATCACACTTTTCCGCGGTCGAACGATTTCTCCCGCGACGCAGCGTGACGGTCGACTCGAAATTGTCAAATATTCACGCCGCATCATTCACCTGGCACGCGGATATATATCGCGCGATAGCTGAATTTCCGAGCATTCGCTGAAACATCGGGGATTTTCGCGAATGCAACGACTCTTCTTTCAACGACCGGCAACAACCGGCGCAAACCGCTCGTGTTTGTCGCATGGCAATCGGCGGCTCGCTTTGATCCGCGTGTCGAAATCGAAAATATCACACGCTTTTGATTCCTTCATCATCGTGCCGCGTCAACAGCGCGCGCGCGCGCGCGGCTGCGTTATTGGCATCGCCCGATACCGATGTTTGCATTATTTAATCAGCATTATTTAATCAATGCAAATAGCCGTGCGCGTCGTATGCCTTCCCGCTCGTTACAAGCTCGCGTTATAAATCTCGGAGCGAACGTTGTGTGTCGCAAAAGTCCGCACCGAAAGATCGACATTAATCCGGGAGAACCGGTCGCCGCGGATCTCCTTAAGGTCCCTACAACTGTACGGTCGTCGTAACAACAGCTATTATGCAAACGTTATTTTTGTTTCTCAAAATGAGTTAGACGACCTCTCGATCCTCCAAGCTGAAAAACATAACTCTTGCTCTTCTTGGCATTTTAGTTCTTGCGCTCAGGAGCTCTTGTCGCTCAATCGCGAATCACTCTTTGTCTTGTCGCTAGGAATTTCAAACAAATGATTTCGCTCCGTGTGGCAGAGTTCGGAATTATTAATGCGCGGTCCTGTTGATAAAAGAAGCCGATGGATACACTATCCATAATAATATACATTGATCGGTTTTTTATTATCGGTTATTTGCAAACTCTCGTGAAACAATTGTAATTAAACGCGCGTACGGGTCAGTTCGCGCGCGAGCGAACTTCCCAGCGTATTTCCGCTTAGCGCACGTAGCTTCGCCGGAGACAAAGGAACGTTAATCCCGCCGCGACCGCGCGCGCGGTCCTTTTTCTTCGGCCTGCTTCTTCTTGCGCGAGTGGAACTCGAGCGTATCGCGATACCAAAAAATCCCCGGCTCGTCGGTACGAATCACACGGAACGGATACACGGGCGAGCCTCTTCGTGACTCGCACAAACCGGTCGTCGACGTCTTAAAATAGCCCTACCTGTCATTAGCCGTCTCTTTCCTTTCGCGGCCTCTCACCGCGCTTCTCTCCTTTTCTCCGCTGCGAACTTTATTCCAACTTAGGCGTTAGGCTCCGGTTAATTAGCTTCTCGTTAAATATGTTAACAGTCTCTCGTCTGTTATAATCGTCTGCGACAATCGAGCGTTCCACATTTTGCACTCGTACGCGCAGCGTACACAACCGCGCAGTCTTCCGGGGAACCGTCGCGTTTTAACTTTCGCCAATAAATTCCCACTCGGGTCCTGCTGTCATTGTCAGTATGATCGATCTAGTCGAAGTTATCGGGAAGTTTGTGCGCGCGTGATTTGGACGCTGGTGATCCAATCACACACGGACAGTCGCTCCTCGCCGCGGATCGATGTAATTTTCGTGACACGGCCGTAATTTATTCTACAACGCACGAGAGACGCAGTCGGCTCTCCGCCACGGGACTGCATTGTGTATTCGTGCGCGGCAATTACCTGTACACAAAAGCGAGAAGGCGACGTCGAACCTTGAAGGCAGATGTTACACCTGGATTCAAGTACGTCGCGACCTTATATAATTCTCCGTCGCAGCCTCCTCTCCCACCGCGTTTCATCGATCGGCGGCGACGATGACGGCAGCGGTGGCGGCGGCGGCGGCGGCGGCGACGACGACGACGGCGACGGCGACGGCGACGGCGACGGCGACGCGAAATTACCAGCTGACATATTCCGTCCGGATCTATAGGAAAGGTTTAGCATAATCGTGTTTGCACGACTATTACTTTCCTTCCTTCGGTCGCCGCGCTCTAGACGCGCGCCCGCGCGCGACGTCGATTATGCATTTTCCTCGACGTCCATATCGCGCGCTTTACCCACGCGTTATGCAAACTGGGACAGCGATTATTGTCGCTCGAAGTACCGCTTGCTATTTTCGATGAAGTGGCCGGTTACTCTCTCCCCGTCCAGCCCTCTCTCCTTCTCGTAAGAAGGAGAAACGTGTCGTGGGATTTCCGCGAGACCTCGACGGACAATTCTGCTTCCCAGCGACATCGGGGAGACAATTATGTTTCCCCGGAAACATGCAAAAGTTCGACCGGACGCCGTTTTCACGCGACTCCGCGCTTTTACGACGTTGAGCGTCGCGTTAATTATCCGGCGAGGCTCCTTCGACTCCACTTGAGTTGAATTGAGTAAGATGGTTTCCCGATCCATTTGCACCTCGCCGATTCAATTTCTCTTACGTTTCGCTTGGTTTGAAAATTTCCGAATCTACGGTTTGCTTCCTTTTCTCCTCGCGCAACCGGAATCAAGTCCGTAATGCCGCGTGACAAACGGTCAGATCAGAAATGTTAGCTAAACGATCCTCCGCCCTACGTTTCTACGTCTACCGTCGTGAGGCTTCGTCGTTTTCAGACACGCGAGGAGTGTGTCCTTATGCATCGGTCGCTTGTGTAAAGTGCGTGCGACGCAACTGTGTGAGACACAGGACACGACGTTACGCTCTGATTCCGCCATTTCTGATCACGCCGACGTCTTTTATGGCGAACGGAGCGAG